CTGCTGCCAGAGCTTCTCGTCCTTGTTGCACTGGCGGGACAGGTTGTTAGCAGCAAGATATTCATCATAGTCTCTGTCATCCTCAAAAGCTTCAACTCGAAGGTTGTGACTCTCAGCAATCTCCTTGACCAACCCCACAATTCTGTGCTGAATGCTCCCAATGCTATCCTGCGGCGCATACCGATGGTTAACGCCAAGCGTCACAAACTCTGGCAACGCATTGATCTTTTGACCCCCAGAAATGACATCAATGGCCTGTGATGTCTGAACCATGTACTGCATATCGCGCGACAGCTTGGTCAAGAACTTGGCGACGCCTTGGAGATTTCCACCGTTGACGAGCTTAGTGAGATCGGGGAAGACACGGGGCGAATGCTCGGCGAAGCAAGCGAGGCATTGATGAATGGCTCCGTTCTTGGCGATTTCGGGTTTGAAGGGGTTGTGTTCCAGGGTAGTAACGATCTCAGCCATTATGCCAATCGCCGTATGCGGTGTTGGCACTGAGCTATGGCCTCCGACGACACTGACATTGAACCAAACATCAAGATACCCTTTTTCGTAAACAGCGGGTAGTGCGTATAAAACATCTCCCATCTTCTGCAGCCCAGCGCCGCCTTCGTCGAGAATAGCAGCAATGCCATGCTCTCCATATCTCTTCTCCAAATGTTTCGAGATGTGACCCGCTCCACGATGACCAGAGCATTCTTCATCAAATCCAAAAGCTAGAATAACTGTACGACGGGGCTTGAAATTCTTTTGGGATAGCAGTGCTTCTAGGGCAGACATCTCAGCTGTGATGGCTGATTTGTCGTCTGAGGCGCCGCGGCCCCAGAGATAGCCGTCTGTTTCGTTGTAGAAGGCGTCAAAAGGTGGGTGGACCCATTCGTGGAGCGTTCCGGCGGCCACGGGGACGACGTCTTGATGACCTGCTAGGAGGATTGGCTGGAGGGATGGGTCGGAGCCTTGGAGGGTGTAGACGAGGCCAAATTTGTTGACTTTTTCTGGGGTGATGTGTTTGTGTCTGATTGTGATGAGACTTTATCCATAAAGAGTCATTGAGATTACTTACACAGTAGGATATGCTTTCTTGAGCATTTTTGGAATGTCATAGAATGGCTTCCATCTATCATCTGTATCCAAATCCCCCATGTCATCATAGCAGATCGAGGGGATGCGGACGAGAGATTGATGTTTCTTGACCATCGACTTGAGAGCCTTTTTGCTGGAGAATAAGTCATGCGAACTTTCAAGGCCATCGTCAGAGGGGTTCAACGGAGCGGGAAGATGGCATTTTGGATTAGTCTCTGCAGTGCCAGCAACGTTGATCTTATCATTGAGACGATGCTGCGCATCATGCGAAAATGCAACAGCACCAGCCGCGAAAGCCGCGGAGACAATACCAGTGAATCTCATCTTGATTGATATCTTGTGCTTTGGCTTGACAATCACATCATGAAGAACAATCAACATGGCGTCAGAGCATCCTTATACTTTATCTACACGAGAGAGTTTCTTGGCACTCTATCATCAACTATTCCCAACACAGGCACCAAGAAGCGAGTTTCGTCAGCTCACCTCGAGAGCTGAACAAGTCTTTCGCATCCGGCGCATTAAGGTTCAGACCCCGCAACCAGCCTGCAACAATCGCGTGATGGATGAGTCTGGAATGATGACGAGAGTTAAAATCTCTTTCGGATTAGACGGCCAAATGTCTCGGTCGTGTCTTGGCGGAAAGGAACATACCGAGGCAATGAATGTGAAGAATTAATAAAAATACATTTTTTGAATTACATATGAAAAACAATTTGGTCTGTAATCTATACACGGATTCTGTGGCGCGTTGCGCTAGTCTTTCTTCTCCTGATCCCCAGTCTCTTCATTCTTCTTCACCTGTTGGATGAGCGTGACACCTGCTAACTCACTAGCGCCATCATGGACCTGCTTCGTCCAGAACGGGTCTCTCTCCATCACCAGAACCGACTTGCGTCGCTCGCGGTGCGCTTCACGTACAGCTAGTCCAGACTGCTGTTTCTTCGTCTCCAGCTCTTCAAGATACTTAACGCGGTTTGCATAGCGCTGGTTGTAATCTTCTCGAATCCGCTCAGAGCCGATCTGCTGAAGAACGAAGCGGACAAGAGACCGAAGGAGGAGGAGAACGTGTTCGCTGATAAAAACTGTAACGGGAAGGGTAGCCCAGCTTCCCATTGTATTGCCGACCTTGTCGACGCTGAAAAGATGGACGATTGCCGCTGTGCAGATACTTCCGAGCCAGGTTAATGCTTCGAGGGAATAGATCCAAGGGCCGATTCCGTCGGAGCGAACTGGTGCGGGGCGTTGATGCTCCAGTGAGATCTTTGCAAAATCAGATCGTAGCTCAATCCAGTTGTTGATGAGAAAGCCCATTGGGATGATTGGCCAGACTGGTGAGAACAGAGCGAGGTATCCGAATTGAAGAACAATTTCTGCAATGTCATCCTGGACGTTGTACTTTGGAAGAATCGCCTCGTTTCGAACACGTGATAAGAAAGCTGTCTCTTCAGGATCATCCTTCACCACCGCAAGAAGCATATCGCCCTTTGACCTTGCCCTGCGGTAATCTCTATACCAATCTGAGAATTTATGCTTAAGCATCGGAACGATGTTCTCTTCAAAGAAACCTGATAGTTGACCTGTGACTGTTAAAGCAATGACTTCGTTTCTCAACCTATCGGCGTCAAGATGAAACGGCTGATGGACGAATTTCTTGCCGACGCTCGCAAATGCAGCTGACAGGAAATTCTCGAGTTTGGGTACGACGGTCCCGCCGAAGGGGATGTAGATAAATGCCGTGAGGAAGATGGGGAGGTAGTTGGTGAACATGTTGAGGACAAAGACTTTTTGGGTGAGTGACATTTCGTGCAGGTCGGCGGTACGGTGGTTTTCGAATTCCGTCATCCATTCAGCTGCGTCTTCGAGGGCGGAGGTGATATAAGGAAGAGATACAGCCAGAAGAATTGTTGGAAGATATTCCTGCACATGTTAGACAAGTTTGTTAGTGAAAATGAGGGACCTACCAAGTAATCCTTATACGGCCCAGCATACGTCTCAGAGATCAAGATCTCAATAGTAAACACCGCGATGATGGTAACACCCAGCGCCAAAAACGCCACGATCAAGAACGGAATCTGCAACAACTGCCTCACGACTTTCTTCCATCTAGGAAAGTAGTAATGTTTCCGCCCGCTTTCATCAACATACTCATAGTCATACTTGAACTGCGGTCTGTTGACTTTGACATGCTGAATACCCTTGACGTTCCAGCGCAGACTCAGATCGATCTCCTGAATCTTCCAGTACTCGAGGAACACAGTGCACCAGACGCTGGTGAGAATGCCGTAGGCGAGGGAGTATCGTGGGAGCCAGAGCCATGCGATGACGCCTGTTATGGCGGGGAATGTGAGGAAGAGAAGATAAGCTTGGATGAAGGCGAAGTAAAAAGCGACCTGCATTTGTAAGTGCGTGTTCATAAGGATAAGTGAGAGAGGACGTACCTTTGAGCCATGGAGGTTACGGATCTGATCAATGTCCTCGTTGGACAAGAAAAACCTTCTGCTCAGATACTTGAGCAAGGACTGGTTGACTTTGGAATTATGGATGGGAAATACCGCCTTGACGTTCTTCCATTTTCCTGTTCCGGGGGTGATGCCTGCACCACCAAGTTCCTTGGACCAATTGACGATATGGTAAACTGAGAGGATGTCCTCTGCTTCATAAGCTCCATCGACGACTGTGTTTTTATCACCGCCAGGGTGATTCGGCGTGATGCCGTATAGCCAGTCCTTAACCCTGCTGTCTCTGTTAATGAAGTCCTGTCCGAGTCACCGAGTCTACTTGCCTGGACTTGTAGACAGCGTTGCCGAGGAGTTCACGTGGTGCTTTGGCGAATACAAGAAGGGATTGTTCATAGCCCGCTCTGACCTCGACGTCAAAGCCAGTTTCCTCCAGGTCCGCAACTAGGGTCTTGAACTCTTTGATGGCCGTATCATGATCTACCCAAATCAGCACATCATCTCATCTCATTCCCAACTATGAGACTCACCCGTCTCGCCAAAATCGTACAGAACGACATACTTGTCGTTGTACGTCGTCTTATCCTCGAACCCCATACTCGGCATCTTCCAGCCTATAAGATCCCTGTGCTTGTCCCGTCTTGTGTCGCGGTCTAGTCAGGCAATACCCCTTGCGCGGCGGAACATACCAAGAACGACAGACAGAGAATACAACCGCGGAGATCCGGTGTAGAGAAGTGAATAATATGAAAGAGCGGTTGATGCAAAGAGTGAAAAGACACGGTTTGGGGCTCCAATACACGTCAGCTGGGTCCACTTGGCCAAGAATGTTGAGCCGGATTGGGCGGCTAAGTCGGCACAAGAATCTTGGTGTTTTGGCCCTTGGCGATAAAGTTTCTGTACGTGATTTGCACTGCCTCGCTGACGATGGAGTGGTAATTTTAGGGGTCTGAGGTTATTGGTTCTTGCGTATTGAGATCGGATCTACAGGAGCCGTGAGGCGTGATGTTTGGCAATGAAACAATGCCGTGATTTTCGTATTGACAATTTCGGGTTCTGTGCATCTTAATTATCGTCGTCATCTTACAACTTGGCAGTCATCTGCCAAGGTCGTGGTACTGTTATCTTATCACTGATAAGATAGCCAATTGCGGGAGATCGCGAACGGGCAAGATACGGTCAATTGTGATTCGAAACTTGAGTAAGAAGAAGAATTCTCATGCATTTAGTGGCTCGACAATGTCGCCGATGATTGATTGACTTGTATGTAAGTGAGATTGTTTGAGATGCTTCTTAACTGAACATGAGCGGCATTCCTGACAGAGACAAAGCTCAAACTCTGATAGAACTTGAACATCTTGAAACTATGCTCCAATGAGCGCTTGGTAAAGATATATTTCCTCTAAATCCGGTAGATCGGTAGTCCTTAGCCCTGCAGATCCCCCGTGGTGTTTAGGTCGCAAGGTCACGTTTGTTCCAGCAGATCAAGGCGGGCCTTATCCAATTACCTTTTTGAGCGGAGCCATGGATCAAGTAGCCGCGCCTGTGATGGACTAGATAATTGCAAGATATTGATTCGTCTTCTGAAGAGCCTAGATACATGCATTGATATGCCGGAAGCCATGGACCCTGAACCCGAGTCCAAATGGATGCACCTCCACCAAGATCCAATGAAAAGATGGGAGTGACTGGAAATGAATGGGATGCGATGCAAGAACCGATGGCCTGATACACTGTCAGAGCACGAGATAGAATCGCAAGCCACCGATCAGTCAGATAACTATTCTTGTTCAATATCAAGCAATGGAAATTGCCGAGGTGATCATGTCCGTCACTTCCATCCAATCCCCTCAAGGTCACACGATGGCACACGAGCAGCCAAACACCAACAAGAGAAAGATAAGCATTTCGCGATGTCATCGTGCGGAACTTAAGCATTTCAACGTATCGGGACGAATCGTTTATATGCTCAAACCTGATGATGGTTGCCAGTCACGGTATGGAGCACAAAAGTGTACTTACAAGTAACGAGACTTGTGGCAGAATGAGATGTTGTCGCAGCGCCATTTACACTGTGATGATGAGGGGTCTCGAGATTGTCGTCCAACGTTACCATTTCGACCCCGCGATGGTTCAACATGACGTTGGTCAGCATCATTTCCCCGTGAAGTATGGGAGGGATGACGACACGAGAGACGAGAGCTGGAGTTATATGAAGCTGCCATCCCAGCACTGTATTGTCGCTCCAGACTTGTTCTAAACACCAGAAGATTTATAAAACATATCACAATACAGCAAGACAAAAACATCATGCCAGAGAGAAGACCTTCTGGCCCAAAGGCCCCGACTGGTCTCAATGATGAGACGGCCGAAGAGGTGCACGATATCATGCACCAGGCCGAGATGGAAGAGCAAAAGGTACGTCGCTGTGATGAAATGAATACATATACTAATAAGCAATAGATGCACGGAAAAGATGCGCTGTGTCAGGATGATGTCGGACCAAGTGAGGGAGGAGAACAAAAACAACAGTCGGCGATGGGCAAGGTTAAAGAGGCGCTGAATCTGGGCAAATAAATGTTGCGACAACCACCAAGGTACCTAATGATGGGATGCTTTCTTATGTCGGCGTTGATATCAAATTGTTACATTAATTGATCTTCATTTATTTATTGGCAAGACGTAATTAATTGCTCAATTGAAAGGGTATTGAAACAAAACACTAGGGTATCTTGACATTATCATCCTCCGCCATCATCAGCATCAATCAGCAGCGCATCACATCCCAAAAACAAGACACGCCGAAAACAAAACTACAATCGCCAAAGACAATCCACCTGGTCTATTCAACCCCATCGCGCTATCCTCATCCACTGGCTTCCCATCGGCAGCGCTGACCTTCTCACCACTAGGATACCGAATATTGACAACCGCCTCCCCCTTCAACTCATCCGGCACGCCCATCGTATGCGGACACTTTGCCTGGTTCTCCGCCGGATAATCCAACTCACACGTCTCGTCGTGTCCAAGCGTACATATCGAATCGAGGATGTTGTAAAGAACGTAATTGTCGCCAACCCACGTACTCTCGTTCCGATCGAGACAGGACGTTAAGAAGTTCATGCTATTCGCTGCGCTAAGCGGTAGTTTGCTCTTTTGTGTATGTATTAGATCGGAGCACTTGGAAGCGTCGACGTTGGAGTATGTCATCTCGACGGGACCGCCGGCCGTGGGCTTGTCGGTGGCCGAGTAACCTGTGTAGAGGTAATTCCACGCATCGTAGCTAACGTCGTAGGCGCCTTGCGATTGATCGACGCGGAGGAGGTGCACGGTGCGGTCTTGGTACGTGAGCGCGATGCAGATATTGTTACAGTCGACGGAGTACGGCCAGTAGGCGATGCGATTCGTGTTGACCTGGTGATATTAGCTTGGTCCCAATCGATGGAGTAATGTCGCGTACTTTGCACCCGGGGACGCCAATTGACGAGGAGTAACTATCATGCGGCGTCGCCCAAACCGTGCCACCGTCTGATTTGCGCGCAAGGGACAGAGGGATGAGAGAGTGGACGAGCAGCGAGAGCCGCAGCATTTTCGAGGGAGTGAACACGCCTGACGTAGGGCGGACGGGTCAAGAGGAATGAGTGATTGAAGGCATTTTCTTTTGCGACAAGCCACGCGAGGAAATGGGGAGTATTAGGGGTCTGGGGAGAGAATTGGCCCTGATCTTTACTGCATTGAGATTGAGCATTGATTGCGAGCATGGAGTTAGGCCGTTTTGGGGATGATATGGCGAGAGGGGACAGGGGTTGAATGAGTTGTTTTTTCTTGATCTCGGCATTTTGGGAGTGGATTGAGCGGAATGGCCATTCACGGTGTACATTATTTGAAGGCCTATTGAGATGTGAATAATTACCATAGAGCATATTTAGGTGAAACATAGAGAAGCCTGGTAGACATGTCTTGATTATTCCGAGCAATGCAGCGCTCTAGAGTGCCGACTTAGGTTGGCCAAAACACAAATGATCCTCTGACCCAAGCCGCCCACGGACCAATCAACCCTCCCTCCACAAAACATGGCAGTTTCCAGCCCCGTATCTCGCATCATGATCCCCCATTCAAGCCCACCTCCACAAAAAGCCCCTCTGACAGGGCTGAGCTACAGAAAACCCGACTAATACGCGTTGACGTCGACGCCGCAGAAATGCTGTTTTAGTCTCGGGACATGATCCCTCGTTTAGATCGTGTTCGTGCTGCCGACATGGGGGCCATTTCAGATATCTGCCTATATAAACCTGCAAGCAATTGCCTTGAGTATAGTTCCTGTTCAATACAATGCATCGCTGTTCACAATGACTCGTGTTTACAATCTCATTACCTTTCTCATCCCTTCTGTTCTTGCTGGCTCTGTGCCCAAGACTTGCAAGGCATACCCTGGGTCTTCGGACTGGCCTTCTCACAGGGCGTGGTCTCGTCTCAACGACACTTTGGACGGAAGACTCTTTGCGCCTGTTCCTCCTGGGGCTTTATGCCACAAAGGCTGGCCGTCTTATGACAAAAATACTTGTCCCAAGGTCGCAGAGGCTTGGAAGCATTATGATCTTCACACGCAGGATCCTGTTTCTCTGATTTATGATCAGTATTCCAACTGGACTTGTCTTCCGGATGCAAGTTATCCATGTAGTGGAAGTGGATATCCTGCTTATGTTGTCAATGTTACCAAGGCGGAGGATGTCAAGGCCGGAGTCGACTTTGGTAAGTGTTTTGCGATGTATCAAGAGCTCTTGCTAATGAACGATAGCTCGTAAGAACAACATCAGACTCATCGTCAAGAATACTGGCCATGACTACATGGGCCGCTCCATTGCCCCCGGTTCTCTCTCCCTCTGGACTCACCATCTCAAAGACATAACCTACCATAAAGACTCCTTCAAGCTTTACAACTCCAAGACTGTCATCGCAGGCGACGCTGTTACTGCTGGCACAGGAACCCAGATGTACGATCTCTACACCAAGCTGGATAAGTATGGTCGCGTGGTTGTTGGTGGCGGCGGAAAGACTGTCGGTCTTGGAGGCTACGTTACTGGTGGTGGTCATTCGCTACTCTCGACCAAGCATGGCCTTGCAGTTGATCAAGTCCTGCAGATGACAATGGTCACGCCATCTGGAAAGATCCTGACAATCAATGAAGATAACCATCCTGATCTCTTCTGGGCAATGCGAGGAGTAAGTCACTCACCATGCAGCTACCCAATCATACTGACAACATAGGGCGGCGGCTCAACCTTTGGTGTCCTCACATCCATAACCATGAAAGTCTACAAAACCCCCAAAATCACCGCATCAGCCTTTTTAATCGGGACATCCGCAGCCGCGCCCTTCAAATACGATCTCCTCGCCTACATCATCTCCCAGTTCCCCTCTTTATCCGACGCCGGTCTTTCAGGCTATACAAACCTCAGCCCCCAAATACCCAACCCCGCCGGCGGATCCGACGAAGTAGCCGGGATCCAGGGTGTTTTTGTGGCACAGGATGTCAACGACCCAGAGTACATTCTCAAGCTATTCAAGCCGATTAATGATACCATTCAGAAGCGATGGCCAGGGGCTGTGCAGTTTAGTGCTACGAAGGAAGAATATGGCTCGTTTTTGGAATGGTATGATGTTTATTTTGATCAGGGTGCTGCGGGGGTGACGCTCTATCTTGCTTCGAGATTGTTGAGCAAGGAGGCGCTGGGTGATGGCAAGGAATTTAGGGGGGCCTTGGAAGAGAGTTTGGTTGCTGCTGGGGGGTTGACAGCTCATTTGATCGCTGGGAAAGGCGTCAGGGATGCGAAGCCCAGAGGGGGGAGTGCAGCTGTTAATCCGGGTTGGAGGAAGACTTATATTCACGCGAGTAAGTTCAAGAACCTTGAGAGGTCATTGGAGTTTACTAACAAGCCTATCAGTATCGGGAGAATCCTTCGAGCCTTTCAATAAGACTTCTAAAGCTGAGGCAGTCAAGACGTTGAACAGATCCATGGAACCATTCCGCAAACTGTCTCCTGATACTGGTGCTTATATCAACGAGGTAAGATTCGTTGTTCTATTAGATGGAATGCTTGTTTGACACTTCCTAGGCTCTTCCTTTCGAGCCAGACTGGCAGCATGCCTTTTGGGGCAAGAACTACGAGAGACTTTTGTCGATAAAGAGAAACGTTGATTCCGATGATGTTTTATGGTGCTTACCTTGTGTTGGAAGTGAGAGGTGGCAACAGCAGGATGATGGTCATCTCTGTCGAGTCAAATGAGTCTGCGATAGGAATGATTGGTAGTGGTTGGACGTAAGTGGAGTGGAATTGAGTTGATACTATCACCAGAATAGTTTATATTTACAACTTTGGTTCGCAAACAGCGATAAACGGTGAAATAACGCCTGCAAGAACTTAGCAATGATATTAGTAGATCATCACAGAACTTACTGCTCAAGAAAAGCCTTCCAGTCTTGGCATCATGCACAACCGTCGTAGCAGCCGGCAAAACCTCCCCCTCCGCATCCTCAAGCATTTTCTCGACAACATACTCTCCCTCGATTTTCCTAACTCTCAATACAGCACTCGGCGGGTGAGCATTATACGGATCATCATACGCCTTAAAGATCTCAACGCCAATGGGAAATGCAGCGATCCAGATATCACCATTCTCGTCGATCGATGCATTATCAACACCATAGCCTAGATTAACTTCGTCGAGTTTCTCGAGATCTTTGTTGGGAAGGATGCGGTAGATGTACAATCGACCGGTTATGGAGTCGGGGAGATAAAGGATGTTGTCTCTTATGGCGAGACCGTTTGGTAATTGGAGGTTCGATGCAACGGGTCTGCAGTTTTGAGTATCGCAGAAAGTCACGTCAGAGAAGCCTAGAATCATGGACAAGTGATGTCGCTGTCTCGTCAGTATAAGATATAAAATGTACGGTGGAATACTCACCCAGCCAATTTTATGAGAACCGTGATCATTGCTGATATAAAACGACTTGTCACTCAGTGCCGCAACACGGTTTGGAGTGGTAATTCCATGGTGAGCATAAGTCCGAACATGCTTCATCTTCGTCGCTCGAGGACCGGTAACAAAGTGTTCGATGGTAGCATTTCCACCATGAACATGTTGATCTGCCAGGTTTCCGTCTGCGTCAATCGAAGGTTGCAAGTTGACGAGAAATAAATCTATATCGCCATTTTTTTGCTCG